GACCCCCCCGATCCATGCAGCCCCCCCAGCCCACAGCCCACCTCTGCGTTCTGCTGGTGCAGCGCCGTGCGGCAGTGATTCTTCACTGAGGTCTCATCTGAGTAGAACAGGGAGCAGATTTGGCAGAAGAAGCCGGCCTTGGGGAGGAGGTAATCCAGACCTGAGAAGGATGGCAGTGAGCTGAGGGCCGTCCCGGCCTTTGGGATGCAGGAAACAGCACTTGTGGGCACCCACAGCCTCAATGGGGGACCTGTTCAGAACCCTAGAATGGCCTGGGTTGCACAGGAGCACAGCTCTCATCTCATCCAACCCCCTGTTGTGTGCAGGTCACCAACCTGCAGCCCAGGCTGCCCACAGCCACATCCAGCCTGGCCTCCAACGCCTGCAGGGCTGGGGCATCCACAGCCTCCTTGGGCAACCTGCTGCTCATGAAGGATGCCCTCCTATCACCCAGTCTAAATCCACCCCCTTTAAGTTTCAAGCCATTTCCCCTCATCCTCTCACTACCTGCCCTTACGAAGTCTGTCTCCAGCTTTCCCATAGGGCCCCTTCAGGTCCTGGAAGGTCACAATATGGTCTCCTCCGAGCCCCCTCCATGCTGCACAGCTCCAGCTCCCTCCCTGTCCCCACAGCAGAGGTGTTCCAGCCCCTCTCTGGCTCCCAGCACAGCCTCCCTTCAGCCCTGCCTGCCAACTGGGCTCGGATGTCACAGCCTGCAGCTCCCTGGGTTACCTAGAGCTCTCTTGGCTCCCTTACGCCTCCCTTCACCCTTTCCCAGCCCATTCTGCACACAGACCCACTCTGCAGCTCTCCTCTCACCCCCACACGTCTCCCTTCGTCCCTTCCCCACGCACCCCATTCCTGCTCCCCATCTACCAGCACTTCCTCACCTTTTGGTTTGGAGGCCGCACTTTCTTCTTCTTCCTCTGGATGAGCAGCACCCAGAACTTCCATCTCTTCCGGCCCTGCAACAGCAACGATGTCCTCCTCTTCTGGTCCTGCACCGGCGGCCGTTTCTTCCTCTGGTCCCACAGCAGCAGCAATTTCCTCCTCGTCTTCACCTCCCTTCGGCTCTTTCCCCGGCAAAGCGCTTTCCTCCTCCTCCTCCTTCTCCTCCTCCTCCTCCTCCTCATCCTCCTCCCCAACCTCGTCCACCGTCACAAAGTTCAGCTCCTCCTTCAGCCGGTTGAAATCAGCCAGGAAATCGTCCTCGTCCTCGTTGGCCTCATCCCACGCCGCGCCGCCGTCCTCCTCGCGGATCTCATCCACCGTCACCAAGGCGCTGGGATCGTCGGGCACCTGGCAGGGATCCTCGGCGCCGCCCTTCTCCTCCTCCTTGCCGCTCAGCTCCGTGGGTTCGTTCAGCGGCAGCTCCTCCACCTCCCCGATTTCATCCACGGTCACCAAAGGCTCCGGTTTCGATCGCCGTCCCTCCGTAACGCCGCCGTCCGTCGGTGCGCCGCCCCGCTCGCGCAGCTCGTCCAAAGCCACGAGCGCCCGCTGCTCGCCGCCCGCCTCCCCCGCCAGCTCGTCCTCCTCCACCACCTCGTCCACCACCAGCATCCCCAGCTGCGCGCCGGCCTCCTCCTCCTCCTCGCCGATCTCATCCAACATGACGAAGGACAGCCGGGCCTCGGCCAGGCGCTGCGGGGAGCTCCTGTCCTTCCTCCTCTTGGAGCTGGGCTCCCAGGCGCTCCTGGAACATTCCTTCCTCTTCCCCTTGGGCTGAGAGTGCTGCGTTCTCACCGGAGATTCGCTCTCCTCTATCACCTCGTCCACCGTAACGAACTCGTCCAAATTGAAGGGGAACAGCTCTTCTTCCTGGGGAGGGGAACAGCAGGACTGAACCGAGGGCGGCACGGCGCGGCCAGCCAACGTCTGTGCTCAATGGGAGGCAGCAACAGGCCAAGGAGGGATGGAGGGACAACAAGGAGGGATGGAGG